TCTTCAAGCTGTTTAGATAAGCTTTGTAATATATGAAGGTTTTTGTGACTCTTTATAAGGGTGGTGTCATCTGCGTACAATACACAAATATCTGGTAATAAGTAGTAATAAAGATCATTAATGTAAAGGGAAAAAAGTATTGGTCCAAGTATGGATCCCTGAGGGACACCATAATTTACACCTTTAATTTCTGAATGTTTATTATTACTACTAACGAGCTGAGATCTTCCAGTCAGATATGATCTAAAAAAGCACAGAGACACCCCACGAAAACCATAATAATGCTCCATTTTACACAGCAGCTTCTCATGATCCACACAGTCAAAGGCCTTGCTAAGGTCACAAAGGGTAATTTGTACACTTCTTCCCCCTTCAAGGCCCTGGACTATGTGGTCAATAAGTTCCGCTAGTGCATTTATGGTTGACAGACCTGGCTGAAAACCAAATTGCTTTGGATTAATGATGTTATTTATTTTTAAAAATTTTAAAAGGCGGTGCTTTAAAATTATTTCTAAAATTTTGCCAAAGATAGGAATTATGGAAATGGGTCTAAAATTGTTTACATCAGATTGGTCACCTTTTTTAAAAACTGGTACTACCTTACTAATCTTAAAAACATCAGGGAATATTCCCTGAGAAAGACAGGAGTTATATAGATGAGCAAGTGGTGTAGCAAGAGTATTTGCACAGTGTTTTATTACTTTACTGTTTAGGTCATAAATATCAAGAGATTGCTTATTTTTTAATTCACCAATAGCATTCAAAACATCTAGATATGTAACAGGCTCCAAAAAAAAGGTTTTATTACACTTATTAAAATTTATGGTATTTAGCTCATTAATATTAAGATTAGGTAGGCTTTTTATTATATTTTTGGCTGCGGATACAAAAAAGTCGTTAAACATGTCTGATGTGATATCAGTTAATGACATTGGTTTGGATTTATTTCTTTCAAAATTTACTAGCCTCCAACAGTCCCTACTTTTATTTTCCGATGAATGAATAAAATTATTATATGCACTATATTTAGCATGTCTAATTTTTTGTCTGTATTGTCTCTGAAAGGTTTTAAGGCATTTTTTGACTGTTCGTCTTTTTGATGCTCCGATATTGTTTTTAGAACCTGAAGAGAGGACCTAGCAGTCTTAAGTTCACTATTAAACCATTTTACTGGCTGTCTCTGAAAATGTTGCTTTTGCTTTTGTAATGGAAAATATAAATCTTTAAGTTCATTTATTGATTCTACGAGAAAAGAAGAGAGACTAATCACATCATGATTGACATAATATTTTGTCCAATCTATGTTGGATAACGAGAGATTTAAATGATTTAGGCTAGCGTTTGTGATTTTCCTAGTATGAACAATATTTTCTTTTTTAATAGAATTTAAATGTACAAGCATACTTTGGGCATAGTGGTCTGAGAGACAGGGATCTCTTACAGAAACTGTATATTCAGACTCGTCTAAATTTGTCAAAATATTATCTATGCAAGTTGTACTTGTGTTGGTCACTCTCGTATAATCTATAATTGTTGTTTTTAATCCAAAAGTCTTATTAAATACTTTAGGTCTTGCAATTGTAATGAATTGTTACAGAAGTCGGTATTAAATCTCCAGCTATGACTATAATGTTATACTTAGGGCTGATATAAGTGAGTAATGCCTCAAAACCCTGAAGAAAATCATAAAAACAAGATTTACCTGTTCGATATAATGTTATGAATATTGCTTTGTTTGTTACTAATTCTACAGCACAGCATTCCAATGACAGCTCGGTGGTATAAGGCTTCAGATCGACAGGGATAAAAGAACTTCTAAGATCATCCAAAACAAAAATGGCAACACCCCCATGAGCATGATCTGACCTACAAAACCAAGAGCATAAATTAAAGTTTGGTATATTAACCGTTTTTAGTTGATCCTCACACAACCAGTGTTCAGAGAGGCATAAAAGTTCAGCATCAGAATTTGTGTCACCTAAATAACAGGATAACTCGTCAATTTTATTTGATAAACATTGAATGTTTAAGTGAAAAACGCTAACTCTTTGAGCAATTTTACATATTTGGTTGTCAAGAACATTTAAAAAGAATGTTTAACATTATTATTGTCTCTATTATTTATATCATTTTGTTTTTGGGAGTTGTGGCTAGGATACCGCTTATTTTGGCTGTGCCTCCAGTCACGATTTACGTATCCGGAAGGCCTTCTATAGATCCACGTCTTGAGACGGACGCCACAGTTCCAATTTTGGGGCTTCATTATGGTATCTAATACGGTGTTTGGTACTGTTAAACGAAACGAGCTAAAACTTCCTCCTGTGTTTAACTTTTCAACTAAATAGTTCGAAGTCGACAGATGATTTAAGTATTTCGTAACCATTTCTTCAGTTGTGTTGACGTCTAGGTTCGATAGGTGCAGGCGAGTTGTAGGGGTTGCTACCTTTAGAACTGAAAGTCCTTGAAGACCGTTTTCGGCTCCGGCGGTGCTTAGTGTAGGCTCAACTTCACCTACGATGCTCAGTACCTTGTTATTTTCCCTAACCTTATTAATTTCTTGGTGGTTGTCACTGGTACCAGGAGATGGCAGCACTGGCGGCGACACGGAGGTTGATCTGGTGGATGTGCGGCGAGTACGACGACTTTTGGCTACGTCGTGAGGTGGCGCTGTATGATTTTGAGTGGTGTGGTTTGCGGTATGCGTGCTAGATGGCATTTGAGTTGGAGCGTCTGAATTTTTACTTGAATTTCGGTGTTGCCATGGTTTTTCCAAAGTATTATTGTTTTTCTCCAAGATGGAAATTTTGAACAGCAATAAATTGTTTTTGTCGGTCATTTCACTTACGAGTTTATTAAGAAGTTCATTTTCACGTAACAATCGATCATTTTCTTTCATAAGATCGCTTATTACAACTTCATTCTGTGTCTTACGTTCCTCGCTCAGAATAATAGTGCCATTCTCCGACGTCACTGAACTGTTTAACGAGTTGTTTTCCAGGCAATTTTCACATACAAAATCACTATCTCTGGGTATTTCTTCATCTGCACACTTTTGATGAACCACATTTTCGCATTTCACACACTTATAACTATTTTTTGCGGCTTTTTTGTTGCATTTTATGCATTTTTCACTAGACATGTTTTCGTTATGTAGCATGCTGCCAGGTTGCCAAGATGGTAAATGATGGTCGACATTTGATGATGTTAAATTAGTTAGACTTGATGGAAATATATTATTTTTTACTGTATAAATGAATATCATTACAAGATATTTGATAAAAAATTTTACATTGAGCCATTTTAATTTGCTAAGCATTTGCCTAATTGGAGTATATTTATCTTTATTTAGTATTATTCTCATGCACTTATTTTGTAAAATTTGCAGTCTTTCAAAAATGGAATTATTTGCTAAATATAGAATAGTCGAACAGTACAAGAAATTTGGAAGAATGATGGTATTATAGATAATTTTTCTGCTATATGAACTCAGACATCCAGAAACTCTCGATAAATATCCCATTTTACTACTAATCTTATTTATAACTTTTTCATAATGAATATCAAAAATTAATCGAGAGTCAACAAAAACCCCCAGGTATTTAAAATTTTCTACGAATTCAGTATCTTCACCATCAATATTCAGTTGAACATTTGTACATTGTTTTTTCCTATTAACAAGGCTTTCGTTTTACTTGCATTTAATTTTAGTCTGTTAGATGCTAACCATTTTGAGACAAGCTTCAAGTCTTCATGTATATAAGAGATACCAGACTGAATATTTTTAGTACTTATATAAATCATAGTGTCATCGGCGAAAATCTGAATTTTGCATTTTTTGACTATGGCAGGTAAATCATTTATGTATAAAATAAAAAGAAGTGGTCCCAGGATACTGCCCTGTGGAACACCCAACGTATTTTCAATTTTTGATGAAATAGTGTTATTAAGTTTTGTAACTTGCATCCTTTTAGACAAATAATTTCTAAACCAATCTAAAACACTTCCTGTTATACCATATGCCTTCAATTTACCTGACATATGTTTAGCAGAAACGACAATAAAAATGCCAATGTCAATTTTTAGGTTATATAGCGCTATTTTCTACTAATTTTTCCAGTTTCTCTTGGTCGGTACCAAGAGAAATCGCGACTCCCTAAAGAGAATTCATTTCTATCACTTTTCATTAGATTTGATTTCAAGAATACTGCATTTCTTGGCCACACCCACTTTTTGCCATTTTCTCTCACAATTTCTACTCCCTCAAAACTTAAGAATAGGGGTCCTCATATCTGCATTGATTTCCACGATACTTAAAATTTGTTCCTCCTGCTCTACAGTAACCTGTCTTTCACGAGTGCGAATATTAGTGTATCCTGTATCTCGAAGTGTTTGGTACACTTGCACAAATGTCCTTCTGCCTGGGTGTACCCGTTGGCTAAATAAGTCGCGATAAATTTGACCTGCAAGATTTGAATTCTGACGAGCTTCACCGTAAACTAACAACATGTCGGCGAACTCTTGATTCGAGAACATTGTAAATAAACACGACGACGTACGCGAAACTAACCACTGTTACCGTTTGCGATCGATTGCCGGTTCGATAAGAGTGATGATGACCGACGCGCTGTTGTCATGCGTGTTTTAAATATTCAATTTAATGAAACTTACTTACTGGCTACAAATTTTGGCTTAACTTAGAAAAACTTAATGCCATTTGTTTGTTAATTACCCAATTTAAAAACGTTTTAGATTAGATTATAAAAATTAGTAAGATTGTGGTCGATATAAGGCACTTAAAGTTGTAAACTATAAAGCCATTTAGACTTTTGGACCATGGGTCATATCAACTTTTTGACATGTTTTGAGCTCCCCTATTACCCATTTCACTGACTACCATAACGTTTACACCCTGTATATCATTTCATGATGGTCTAACAGAACTAATGAACAAATGAAATGAGATAAAATCATTTTTTTTATTTTTGTTTTTTTTTTTCCAGGTGCCGACCCACCATCGGTCCATCCAGCACGACAAAAAGGAACAAACGCAACTGTCGCCGGTGAAGAAACGCGTCAAAGAAGGCACGCCCCCGTCGGAACAATTGAACTACTCGTCGCGTCGCATGGCGATTCACAGCCCGCCGCAGATGAACGCGCATTGGCCGCAACCGCCGCACCTGCCTCCCGCGCACGCGCATCACCAGCAGCCCGTCGTCACGTCACACGATCATCAGACGCAGACCACGTCGCACCACCACCATCATCACCATGCCGGCGGATCGGCAACGCACAGTAAGTAGATGGCAAAGTTTCCTTACGCGCAAATGGTCATGCGGAATTGAACGAATTGCTGGTGCATGAAGGTGTAAGGTCTCCTCTATCTGTTGGTATGTCACTCTCCGGTCTTCGTCGAGCATTTTCCTCGTAGCAGTAATGTTTTCCTCTGTACCACCTGTATATAGTCTTACGATGAGGACAATCATTCTTTAATGCAATCGTCATTTCTTCTAAGCACAGGTCTATGCTTCAATCAATCAATTCTTTATTCATGTCACAATACATAAAATATGTTTACATAAGTCAGTAGATCAAATGAGAATTGCATTAGAATTAAAACAAAGCAAGTGCTAATGATCATAAAAAATTACAAACAAGTACACCAGCACTCATAAAGATATAACGCTAACATAACATATTAAGATTTATAGTTAAAATTTATGTCTTAAAAACTCTTCAAACGTGTAAAATGAGTTATTAATAAGAATTTTCTTGATTTGACCTTTGAAATCTTTAAACGGAAGCGATTTTAAGCCATCTGGAAGTACATTAAAAAATTTGACCGCCCAATAACCAGGTCCATCTTGACACCTTCTCAGTCGCCAATAAGGAGGTACGAGATTGTTCTTATGCCTAGTATTGTGCTCATGGACGTCCCCATGAGTTACATAGTTAGAGTTTCTTTTAACGAATAGTAGATTTTCAAAAATATATAAACAAGGCACAGTAAGGATTCCCAACTTGACAAAGGTATCTCTGCAATCGTCCCTGTAGCCCAGACGGCTCACAACCCTAACTGCTCTTCTTTGCAAGGCGAACAGTCTATGGATCCCTGAAGAATGCCCCCAAGCCAGAATGGCGTAGGATATATGTGAATGGCAAATGGCAAAGTAAGCCATTCTCAATATTTCTACAGAAACACAAGAAGACAAACTCCGTAGCACATATATACCTTTGGTGGCCTTTCCAGCAACACTGTCAATGTGAAGGCCCCATTGCAATCTTGGATCCAAAGTAACCCCCAGAAACTTGGCTTCACCAACCAAATCACTGTCTCCAGGCAGGCTTCGCATGGAGAACACCATTCTCTTTGTCTTATCTTTATTTAGCAACAGCTTATTGGAGCAAAACCACAGCTCAGCCTCATCCTGCGCAGCCAGAGACTGTGCCATTGAGCGCTCAAAACTGTTAGCGGTGTGAGAGACGGTCGTATCATCCGCGAACAGAGTAAAGTTTGCAATATTGTTATTGAGAGGTAAATCATTTATGTAAATTAAAAAAAGAATTGGGCCCAAGATGGAGCCCTGTGGGACGCCAATATTAACACTTCGCTCCGCTGATGTCACTCCATCACATCTCACCACCTGAGTTCTATTACTAAGGTAAGACTCAATTAGTTTAATGGAATCATAACTAAAGTTGTAAGCAAGGAGCTTTTTTAAAAGGATGTCATGACTCACACAATCAAATGCCTTACTAAGATCGCAGAAAAGAACCGTGTTATACCCTCCTCCATGGAAAGCATCAATTATAGAAGAAATCAGGTTAAGTACACCCATAACAGTGCTCTTACCCTGGCGAAAACCAAACTGATATTGTGAAAACAATTCATTTTCCTCAAAAAAGGTTACCAGTCTCAAAGCCATACATTTTTCAAAGATCTTAGAGATAACTGGAAGAAGGGATATAGGTCTGTAGTTCTCTGGTGAATCAACATTGCCGTTCTTAAAAATAGGTGTGACACTAGCTCTCTTTAGAACAGTTGGAAAAATATTTTCTCTAAGACAAATATTAATCAGTCGTGTTAGAGGGATCAAAATTATGTTCTTTATACATTTTACAATTTTTAAATTGAAACCAAAAATATCTTTACTGTTTTTATTTTTGAGATTATCTATTACATCGCGAACCTCGTTAAATGTGACTTCAGAAAAAGAAAACAGAGGTGGCGGTACCAGGAAATCAAAATTATTAACAGGATCTAAATGTACATCAGGGATGTGATTTACTATATTACCTGCTATGTTACAAAAAAAATTATTAAAGTCATCAGGTGACAGGTCACTGCTCCCAGGGCACTTATTACTCTTACCTCTTTTTTTGTTAATGATATCCCAGATGGTTTTAGCAGGATTACTTGAGCTCTTTACAAGGTTGTCATTAGCATTTATCTTAGCTTTTCTTATTTTATTTCTATATAGATTTTTGTAGTTTTTATAATACTGGTCACTCACAAAACCATACTGCCCTTTCAGCTCTCTCAAAAACCTCAAATGTTCCCTCATTGCCCTTAGTTCGGTATTAAACCAGGAAATATTATTGCCCTGGTCGGATCTTACCACATAAGTTTTCTTTGGAAAAGAGTATGTATAGGCTTCTTGAAGAATATCCATGAAGTGGCTAAACTTTTGTTCACCGCTGGTACTATCAACAGTAATGAAATCCCAAGATATCTCCGACAACCTACTGTGTAACATAAACAAACCTCTTTGTGTTACTGGTCTATACATTTTTTTATTTTGAGTAAAACCTGTGGTTTCACAACCAAGAAATTTAACCAGCTGACCTTTATGATCTGATATTCCAATATCACATACCTGAGAGCCACACAGCTCCATCGCACTACTAAGGAAAACATTGTCAAGACAGGAGTCCCCACGAGTTGGTTCAAAGATTGTTCTTTCTAAGCCAAAGCTAGCGAGAAGGTCACACAATTTACTTGTATTAACATCTAATGTGTTGAAACTTACATTGAAATCCCCAGCAAGAATAATTTGCCTATTCGTACTCAATTGTGTTAATATTTCCTCCATTGATTCCAAGAAGGTATCAAAATTCCCTGAAGGAGATCTGTAAATAGTTAAAACATAAACATTCAGACTCTGACAATAAACCACACAGTACTCAATACATTTCTCAATATAAAAGGCAGGATTAATACTTATAACACATGAATTAAATTTATTTTTGGTAAAAATTGCAGTTCCTCCACCTGTGAAGTCCTTCCGTTCAGAAGACCCTCTCATCATGTATCCCTGCAAATGGACAACTTCCATTTCTTCTTTGGTCAACCAATGTTCTGTCAGGCACAGTACATCAATGTCCTCATCAACAAGAAAGGCTTCCAACTCATCTATTTTTCTTCTTAGGGATCTCACATTTATATGCAGAATCTTTACTTCCTGCTGTTTAGGTTTTCCTTTACCATATTTTGGCGCTGCAGGTTCCGAAAATGGTTTATTAGGATGCCCCTTGGCCACAGATCCGGACATAAATATTTATCAATGTCATCATGAGGAACAGTAAGTCGAAATGAGCTGCAGTACTTTTCTTTCTTGGTTTTCATTTTTTCGCAGGTGTATTCATTAAAGTTGTTTTCTTTCAGAAAATTTTTCACGCTTTCGCTGGTAACTTCTGGTGCCAGGCCAGATAAAAACAAAGATGATACTCTGGATGCTGGTCTAAGGCTGCATATATTTACATTGGAGCCTCTCAAAGGTTCAGGTCGACTGGATTTATCAACAGGTCTGTTTCTGACCGAGATTTTATTTTTATTTCGGTTTCTAACCTCTACCCATTTGTCTTCTTCTGAATTCACGATGACAGGGGAGTTGGCCGCAGGCAGTGCGCCACTGTCGTCAACTGGTTCAGCACTAAGATTTTCCAGAATTACGATTTCGTTGTTTGCAACCGCATTATGGATTTTGCGAGGTTCCTCGTTAGATGTCACTGAATCCGATGGATGTTTGATATTTTCGTATTGTTGGACCTTTTTGTTTAGGTAATCAACTCTATCTTCAAGGAAATGCACCTTTTCTCTCAAAAGTTGACTGTTTTCTTCCGCGATTCGATTTTTGCTTTGCAGTTCTTTCACCAGCGTTCTTAGAAGATCCAACTCCGTTGAATCTTCACAGAGCAGCATGTTTACACTCTCTCTTCTAACCTTGCTTGATTCGTGCATACAATTGGTATTTTTCAACTCGCCTGCCTGCTCCAGACAAGCAGGATGAAACGAGTTATTACACTTTTTGCACTTCACTACGTTCACAACTTTTTTTTTACAGTGTAGGCACAGTATGATATTCTTTTTTTCATTCTTTTTAAGAGACGAATTTTCAGACGACTTCTCACTTTCCGCCATCTTCCGACGCTTCAACTGCTTAAACCACGCGTAAAGTTATACTGTAGCAAATGACATCCTTATTGTTAGTAGTTCCATCTTTAACTTCACGCCTTCTCTTCCAGGTCACCACCAATCGACGAACACGACGTCGACGATGGCGGGCGGTCACGGCCACCACCATCCCACGAAACAGCACACGATCACGATCAACGACACGCCGTCCCCGGCCGTCTCCGTGATCACGATCTCGGACAGCGAGGACGAATCGACGAGCGCGGCGTCGTCCGCGTCAGCAACGGCGGCGGTTGCGGCAGCCGCCGCGGTCGCAGCTGCGGCAGCTACGGTCGCGACCGTGCCGCCGAAGAGGACCGCGCACGCCGACACGCAGACGACGGGAGCGCATACGCACGCTGAGCCGCAGCAGCAGCAGGTGCAGCATAGGAAGAACGTCATCAGTTGCGTCAGCGTCGCGGATAGCGATAACGAGGACAGGAGCTCGTCTAAGGTAAGGACACAAACTAAGAAAACATTCGTTTAGCACAATATTTTTTGTTTGTTTATGATTTATTTAGCATGATTGCTACATTCTTTTAAAAAGAGGAAACAATAACATATGAGGGTGGTCCCAGAAGTACCCGACCCAACGAAGAAAACACAAAAACTTTGTAAAAAAATGTATTTATTTTACATCTTTCTCAACTGGACACATGTGCTTTAAACAACTACCGCGCGCAATTTAAATCAGTCAATTATCCAGGGTGTCCCAGAAGTCGACGTCAAGCCGAAACCGGGTGATAGGCAAAGTCATAACAGCTATCAGAAAAATATTTAAAAAAAATTTATGTATGTGTTTTGAAAATTATAGGTCTTTGAAAAAAATATAGAAATTTCACACCTTACGGCAATCTGTCAACTCCTGTTACTACAAATATTAACTTTTTTTGGATTTTATTTGTACACTGTAATGATGAATAATGCATCTTCAAACTGGTGTCTCAACGTTACTGCCAACTTTTCTCGTTCAGGAAAAATTGCCACTTATTTCCCAACCAAGTATTCCAAAGTAAAACTTTGCTCAACTTTAACTGGCTGTACTGGAAAAAAATATACTACGAGAGTTTGGCAAGTAACCTTAAAAGTTGGCGCATTTAATAAGGATTCCAAAACGGTATAACACTTAGAAGATTACTCGTTAACTTATGCACAATTTTTATTTGAAGAAAAACTGATGAAAATTTTTCAAAATTTCCTAATTAAACAGCGATTATGAAAACGCACAAGGACCCTTAAGGATAACTGTTTGCGCAACAGTGGGCGTCAAAATGCTGCTGATGATGATTTACCCTTACAGCAAATGCTCAAACTGTTTTCCTTCAGCCGCAATACACGCTCGACATCTTCTTAAAAAAGATCGGGTTATTAAACGAGCGAATCCACGGTTATTAACAAACTCAGCTGCTTCCAATAGTCTTTGCCGTAGCTCAGCTACATTTTGAATCGGCTTGAAATACATTTTTTCTTTTACAGTTCTCCAGTAAAAAAAATCTAACGGATTCAAATCTGGTGACCGGGCTGGCCACGGTATTGTACCAGACCGCCTTATCCATTTGCCTGGAAAGTTTTGATCGAGATACTCTCTCACTGAGAGTGCATAGTGCGCTGGGCAGCCATCATGCTGAAACCACATGTCCCTGTAAATACTCAGTGGCACGTCCTCCAATAAATTTTCTAAATTATTTTGCAAAAAACCTAAATAAACCTCAGCAGTATAAGTCTCTGGGAACTCAAACGGACCGGTTATTTTACCATTTAAAATTCCTGTCCAATGGTTTATCTTGAAGCGATATTGAGATTTATCTTCTCTCATCAAATGTGGGTTTGCTGCGTGCCACTCGTCTAAGTTATGCAGGTTCATGTACCCATCTTTCTTAAACGTGGTCTCATCTGACCATAAAATTTTTTCAAAGAACCGTGAATCTTCCCTGTGTCTTTCTAACATTGTGCGACAAAAAGCAACTCGGGGCTCATAATCCCGGGGCAGAAGAGCTTGAACACGCTGTACGTGGTATGGATGGAGCACGTTTTTTTGCAAGATTCTATGGGCTGTACTTTTGGGCACACCTGTTTTTAGTTCTATTGCACGCACTGAAGTACTCGGGTCTTCTTCGACAGCTCCTAGCACCACGTCTTCGTAAGGAAAGAAAGATCTTCCCTCAACGTGTGATTGGTTTGGTAGTTGGCCCTCTGAGAACAGTAAGCGGTGCACATTTGTGAACACTCGATGATTTGGATGACGAGCTGCATTCGGGTACCTCTCACAGTAAAGTCTCGCTGCAGCACTAGCGTTGCATCTGCATTCCCCATAAATGAGGTGCATGTTAGCATATTCTTGTATGGTGTACACGGACATAGCGGCACTGCACAATCATACTATCAAAGATAGTCTAAGGAAAGCAAATGTTGTTTTGAAGAGCAATTAAACAGTCCAAATCCAAATCACAAGCGATCAACAGTCCAGTTCACGAATCCAAAATTAGTAACAGTACGAAATCAACAAGCACGAACATGTAAAGATGCGCAGTAAACGAAGGAGTACTGATCGGTATCAAAGTGTGCAATAGCAAGTAAGTGATGTGCTTCATCCATACCACATACAGCGTGTTCAACCTCTCCTGCCCTGGGATTATGAGCCCCGAGTTGCTTTTTGTCGCACAATGTTAGAAGGACACAGGAAAGATCCACAGTTCTTTGAAAAAATTTTATGGTCGGATGAGACCACATTTAAGAAAGATGGGTACATGAACCTGCATAACTTACACGAGTGGCACGTAGCAAACCCACATTTGATGAGGGAAGATAAATCTCAATATCGCTTCAAGATAAACCATTGGACAGGAATTTTAAATGGTAAAATAATCGGTCCGTTTGATTTCCCAGAGACTTTGACTGCTGAAGTTTATTTGGATTTTTTGAAAAATCATGTACAAAATTTATTGGTGGACGTGCCACTGAGTATTTACAGGGACATGTGGTTTCAGCATGATGGCTGCTCAAGGCACTATGCACTCTCAGTGAGAGAGTATCTCGATCAAAACTTTCCAGGCAGATGGATAAGGCGGTCTGGTACAATACCGTGGCCAGCCCGATCACCTGATTTGAATCCTTTAGATTTTTTTACTGGGGAACTGTAAAAGAAAAAGTGTATTTCAAGCCGATTCAAAATGTAGCTGAGCTACGGCAAAGACTATTGGAAGCAGCTGAGTTTGTTAATAACCGTGGATTCGCTCGTTTAATAACCCGATCTTTTTTAAGAAGATGTCGAGCGTGTATTGCGGCTGAAGGAAAACAGTTTGAGCATTTGCTGTAAAGGTAAATCATCACCAGCAGCATTTTGACGCCCGCTGTTGTGCAAACAGTTATCCTTAAGGGTCCTTGTGCGTTTTCATAATCGCTGTTTAATTAGGAAATTTTGAAAAATGTTCATCAGTTTTTTTTCAAATAAAAATTGTGCATAAGTTAACCAGTAATCTTCTAAGTGTTATATCATTTTGGAATCGTTATTAAATACGCCAACTTTTAAGGTTACTCGCCAAACTCTCGTAGTACATTTTTTTCCAGGACAGCCAGTTAAAGTTGAGCAAAGTTTTACTTTGGAATACTTGGTTGGGAAATAAGTGGCAATTTTTCCTGAACGAGAAAAGTTGGCAGTAAGGTTGAGACACCAGTTTGAAGATGCATTATTCATCATTACATTGTAAAAATAAAATCCAAAAAAAGTTAATATTTGTAGTAACAGGAGCTGACAGACTGCCGTAGGGTGTGAAATTTCTATATCTTTTTCAAAGACCTATAATTTTCAAAACACGTACATAAAATTTTTTTAAATATTTTTCTGATAGCTGTTATGACTTTGCCTATCACCCGGTTTCGGCTTGACGTCGACTTCTGGGACACCCTGTATATTGCCCACTCTGTATAAAGTCCTTAATTTGCTGCTTTTAGAGCGTTAAATTTTTAAACATTAAAACATCATATTATAAACTGGGCATACGTTTTTTTTTCCAGAATGCGCATAACATCTATAATCACGCAGTCATCAAGAACGAGCCATGCCAGAGTCAGAGTCAAAGCAGTTCAAATCCGCATTACGCGTCTCAGAAGAAACGTTTATTGGCAAAGGCTCAGTCCGAGTGTATGCTCAATGTACCCACGAAACAAGAACCGTCTGATTATAATTATCTACAGCATTGCACGTCAGCCTGCAAGGAACCCCCGCAGGTAATTTTTAATCGTTTTTCTTCATTTACCATGATTGATACATTTACATTCTTTACAACAATTACATAAATACAAAATTTGCGTGTCTAAGAATTTTCGCTGTCCATGGAATATTTCTTTAATTTCCTTGTAAACATCTTTAAATTACAAGTAGACTTTATACTCTAAATGACAGAAAATGCAACACTAGGAGTGCTGTAATTTTGAGTATTCCTTTACAAGCTTTAGATCTACGGAACGACTTCAATATTGTATCAGCGTACACTTTTATGATGGCAAATATGTTTACAAGTTTTTATCAAAATCAAGCAGCAAAAATGACTCTTAGTAGTAATTAAGTAGTAGTTTGTAGTTTAGATTAGTAACCGCCAGAAAAAATTTATTTGACGTGTTGCTGAATCTGTTTATATTTTCTATTTATTGTCCTGCAATATTTTTATATTTTTGTTTTCCTTTGGTTAGCCACTGTATATACAGGGTGTTTCAGTTTATTGTTGCATAACTTTAAGATTCGATAGAACTTTCAAAATTAACGCACAAAGTCTATATAAACATGGGTCGAAAAATGCGTGGCTTCCGAAATACAGGGTGTTTAAATTTACTTTTTAAAATAGTTTTTTCAAATATTTCGAACAATATTTGATGTATAACAGTGAAAATTGGTATACAAGGGTTTTTTGGTACGACAAAATGAACCATAAATAATTAAAAATGCATCGAACCTTAAAAATCGAAATATCTCAAAAACGGCTAACTATAACGAAAATTCACATGAGAGCTTTTATATGTTGAAAAGTGCGAAGAATCATTTTTTATTCAAAAAGCAAAAAATTGCACTAAGAAAAAAGTTTCGGTAATTTTAATACACTACAGGTACAGTAGAGAGCGCCCTCTAGCGGCTACAGTAAAACTATGCCCATGGTTCGTTTTGTCGTACCAAAAAACCCTTGTATACAAATTTTCACTGTTATACATCAAATATTGTTCGAAATATTTAAAAAAACTATTTTAGAAAGTAAATTTAAAC